ATAGCATAATCATCGTTCGCGCAGTTAACAAATTGCTGCTTCTTTTTTTCTTTTGGGGTTTCACCGGAAAAACGTACATGGAATTTATATCAAATGAGATCATAATAATTTGCATTTTACTGAATACTTCAAACATTTATGCTTCCTAATGTTGCACGAATTGGAATAGGATTTATGTTCAAAATTTTGCGTATATTACATGATTTGACGTAATTCCTTTTACGTCATAAGGTACTTGAATCGAATGTTTTTCTCTCATTTCTTTCCCAGAACATCGATTGATTATCAATCATTTAAGAGTAAAAATTCGATTTCCACAAAAAAAATTATAATTATCCAGAAAAAATGCCAAAAGTTCTTATGGCAACAGAAAGATGTCGATTTTGTGGATGATTTGCAAATTTATCTGGATTATGCGATGTATTATTTTCAATCTGCTTTTAGTTAAATAATTAAAATTCATTTAGCGACGAACTGTCCGGGCGAAAAATGTTCGAGAAAAAAGGAACAAGTCAATTTTAAAATGATGAAAGGCCGATTTAATTCAACTGGAAACATTTAATTAAAAGTGTTTGAAATTAATTTAAAGTGTCGTCAATTAGTTGCACACAATTGTTATTTATGCGACGAAGAAGGGCTTGTTTCGTATGCTCAACGCAGATTTCTTCCTACATTCAACTTGCAATGAGATTCTTTTACCATTTTAAATGGCGACTAAAGCCATATATGAGCATAGTGAATGTCACATAAAAATCCATTTAACAACGCAATACCGAAGGAGGCCACACATTGTTGCTATGTATTCGACGAGTTATAGTGGTGACATTATCGTTTGCATCCATATGAAGTCATATTCACGTACGTGAAAATGTGCGTTGTCTGCATTCGACTAAATGTGATTTAACGCATATGGTTTTTACATTTTGGTCCACAATGATGATGCATGCATTTTGCTGTTTACGTGTGTTTCTATGTATGTGTGTGTGAGTCCCTGTGCGAACATTGCTCGTGCACCTCAATAGTGTCATTTATGGCTTATTTTATTATCTCATAGTTAAACCTCACAAGGCAACCATTTGTAAGATGCGAAGCGATAGAGAAAGAAAATGCCGTTTTTGCAACATTATTCTTAATGTTTTTCAATGTTATTGCGTTGCCACAGTAACACAGGGAACCGAAGAGTCAAGTACATTTTATGCGTGTTCGAATCACCGTGGAAAAAAGAATAAAAAAAAATGTAAAGGCAAATAAAACGAAAAAGAATAAAATGCAAGAAAACAAATGCCAAACTTGAATATTCGATTCTAATTGCGACTGATTTCGAAATATGATTTCAACTTCACATTCTTATCCTGCTGCGTCAAACGCAAGCAATAAAAATTATCATCTTTTAACATTCTTCCACAAGATTTATGTGTATTGGCAACTTCACAGTCTCATAAATCGTTTCAATTTCGAAGGCTTTGCCATTCCAAATTCATGACATTCCCTTTGCTTCGCAGAAAAAAAAGCGAAAACGAACTGAAATTATCACTTTGCTGCCGATTCAAATTTGCGAAACGAATTTTGATAAGATTCAATCGAAATCGGCACGTCTCATTTTCTACCATTCAATCGTGATTCCTTTTTTTTTGTTTTATTTATTTCGTTGAAAAATTCAATATTAAATGTTCATTCACCCTCTTCATCATATATGAAGAAAACCCGGCGAATCAAATGAAAATTCGAGCGCAAAGAAAAACAAATCAATCCATCGCGTATATTATTGTTTGTTGGTTTAATGTGGGGAGTGTGTGTTTATGGTTGGCAAGTGCGTGGTGAATGGTCTTAATATATCGCCATCGTTGTCTGTATGCATCGTCCGTGAACGAGTAAGAGTACGTTTATCGCATTAATTCCTTTTGATGTGAAACTGTTTTAACAAGTTTTTTCTCCCGTTTTTCGGCAGCAGTTCAAAACCTCGTTCGTTCGCATGATAACGCATTTAAATTTTAATCTGATTGTATTTTTCAAATTAGCACGTCGGTTGATTGTATACTATCTATGGAGTTGATGTCACTCTGTGCAGTAGGCGGCCTCCCGTTTGTTTGTTCTCATTTGAATATGGCGTTTTATTGTTTCTTTTTCACATTGGTTGCGTGTGTCAACCAGATTCTTGAAACCATATAACCGATATCGATAACTGAAGGGATTCCAAAAATGTACGGTGTACGAGCCGTATAATCCGTTCGGTTTGAGATTAGAAAATTTGTTTTCGCACGAAAGTAGTGGTTACAAAAGACGAAGAAGCGACTGGTTACGGATCTAAACGATAACAAAAATTTGTTTGCGTGCTTCGAACACAAACAAAAAACGATGAAGCGCAGAGTGAATATAGAAGAGATACAACATCATTTAAATACAATTTACTATGAAGCACTACCATCACGACGGTATTAAAGGCGGTATGTGTGTACAAAGATTGCGTTAGTGGCTGTATTGAGATAAAAGAATTTTCGATTGGTTGCATTTGAAGTGCGCACATTTCATGCAGTTTATTGACATTTTATTTTGATTTTTATCGGACGGTTGCCATGCAAATTTCCGACGACAATCAACTACAAATTTCATTCAAAACGAACAAATTTCATTCGTCTTCAATAGTTTGCATTCTTATTTCATTTTTGTGACAATAAATTCAATCAAATTGATCACATGCACAAAGAAAGAAGAAGGAAAAAAAACTTTTGCGACTCAATGCGGCAGTTCTGTAATATCTCAATTTTTATTGAATACGGAACCCTCCGCATACTTTGCGTGCCGAAAACGAGCATTTTTTTTGCTGAGGATGATGGTTTCGTGTAGTACAGTTGGTGAAATTCACTTTTAATGCAAAACAAACATGGGGATGACCAGAAGTGTGTGTGTGTGTGTGTGTGTGTGAGAGAGAGAGAGAGCGAAGAGAGAGTGCAAGCATTTGTCTATAGATTGTTCAAGCCCAAGAAATTACAGACTTCCTTTTGGCAATTGCAGCGGCAACTGTCTGTTAAGTGCAATCGAAGATTTATTCCATTTGTTTGTCTATCATCTACTGGATGTGTATATTGATAGTCGAATTATTGTGTTTTTGGTCCGTTAGCAATCAATTTACATTTTCGATCGCACTATGCTTGGATGTACATGAATGGGAGGGGGTTCGATTGGTCGAATTCCGGCGATTCAGAGCAAGCGATGAAATGAAAAACCGTAATAATAATAATAACCGTTAAAGACAAATAATTTCCGGCAAAAGAAAATCGATATGGCGAATAGAAGAGGACACAACGCGAGGGTAGCACAAAGATCATAATAAAATGACACGTTCCCTTTCGTCGTTCTCTTACACGCGCCCAGTTCAATGCTCTTTGTGTGTTTGCACACAACGTTGTTGTGTATTGTCGTTGTAACTGTGCTCCGTCCTACAAAAATGCGATATTCTATTTACATGTTTTCCCCATTTTGTCTTGATCTTTTTGGTCGTCTTTTTGTTTCCCTCTCGCATTTTCCGCATTTTTCGCGATATAGAACCATAGCACATCATATACGACTGTTTCGGATTTCAACAAGGCGCACAAACACACACACACCCAAATCAAATAAATAATAATTCGTTCAATTGTTTGTCTGATGTCGCCCTTGTGCTTTGTGTGCACACAAGTGACATTGGCGTTATAGCATAAAATGCAAAGTGCGTTTCTGGAATTGTTCACCATATTAAATGTGATATTATTTATTAATAATGTGTTTGGCTGTTCTATTTTGATATTGCATTTCATATAGAGTCGAGAAAAGGAGATGGCAAGAATTGGCGTAGCGAACAACGCAAAAAGTAAATATTTGGAATTATGATCATAACGCAATTCCATTTTGTTTGCGCTTTTTCTCAATATTTCCTAGATGAAAACGGAAAATTAAGATGTAAATATATAGGCACACTTAATCCAACGCCTTTTTAGCTAAAGCGCAAAACTAATAAAGAACGGAAATACGATGATTTGAATTCAATCGAAATATATCACTTATGTGTGTGTTTTTATGGTATAATGAACAATCAAGTAACTTAAATGAGCTCATTACTTGACTTATTGCCTTCATTGCGACACTTGGTAAACTTCACATAACATTCTGCAATAGAAACAGTTAAATGTCATTTATGACCCTCACACTATCAACACGTGCATTTTACTTTTATTAAACAATCAAAATGTTTTTATGTTTCACCTCAGTTAAGCTCCATCATTAAATCATTTCACACAGTTTTAATCAAATTAACTGATTTATAGAAGAATGTCTTATCCACGATAACAATAATTTATTTTGTAATGTTGTTATTAAACATAGAATGCAGCAGATAAGGCCAAACGAATCCACTGTGAACACTGAACAGTTGAAAAAAGTTTTTTCATGCACATTTCCAACCTCGAAAAACTCTCGCTCAAAATCTATTTTTACGAAAAACAATATCGAAACTGCTCATTAAACACATAAAACTATTTGCTTGAACTCTACGATTATCAAAGTCAATACAGTGTCAATAAAGTGACGTTAGATTCGAGTTTTTTTTTTCATTTAACTCATAATTTTTCACAGAATTCAAATTTTGCAATCGACAAAGTTTTTTTGAGAACAATTATTTATTCCATTTTATCATTCGCTTACGTCAATAACAGGTGGGCTGCCTAAAAAAATAAATTCCACAATATTGACAAAATTTTCAAAATGCTATGATCAGAATTAACAGATGTCGAAAAAATTGTAAGTTAATCAGTTTGCGAATAAAGATGTCTTAATTTCGCAACCGAACAATTGCTCTCGTCGGGACCCGAGTGATGTTAGCTTTCCACATCTTTGCGTATGAATTAAATAAACATATCAATGATAATTATTCGCCAATTGTGTCATCTTCAAATTGATATCTGAAATTTAATTTTGGTTTCTTTCGCCTTATTGAAATAAGCATTGAATAATATATTTCATGAAGCTTTTGTCATATTCATATTACGATTTGTAATTTTATTTCTTGATTTGTTAAACAATATTAAAAAGATTTTTTGTTATGTTTATCAAATGGAGTGGAATATGCAATACTGATCGCATAAACCAAAGTAATGTGACTACTGGCTTGGTAATTCCTTCTCTCTTTTTCGTCTTTCTTCATCTTCTGCTTCCAGTCTCTCATCTTCCGCCTTCATTTTTTGCATTGCTTTCGCTGTTCCGTAACTACAGACACAGGGGGCTCCTATTATCGCTCCAGCAGTAACACCAGCTCCTAAGCCTACGTCGATTGCATTGGCACCTGCTAGTGCCGCACTGGCTACCGTAGCACCAGTTGAGAGAACTGCTGCTTCGGTAGCTTTTGAAGGACCCGCGCCACAACAGGCATTTACAGGACAACAGCCTATCGCCAAACCTGCGACAACAGCGCTTCCAGCTGTGTTGAGCCCATATCCAACCATTTTCGCCGCACTGATTCCGACCTGCTTACCTGATTTACCAATTAATTTTGCAGCACCTTTACCGCCCTCTTTCATAGCCTTAGCGACTTTTTTCACCTTTCCTTTAACAAAAAAAGAAATGTCAAGAAAGATAAATACAATATACATTTATGGATATAAACAATTTCAATTCAATATCCACGAATATTTACCTCCATTACCGTTAGCTGCATTTACGCATGGGGCTAAGAGCTGTGAAATAAGATGAAAGTAAAAAATAAAATAAAAATGTTAACTCAAATCCCAATTTTCTATCGACATTCAGAAAATTACCTCCAACGTTATAGTTGCAATGAATAATAGGCAGAACAATTTTCGAATCATCTTGTTTTAACTGGTTTTCACAATTAACTGACGATTTACATCACATGACTTCAGTTTATATACATTTTCAAGCTACTTGCCAAATTGGCACTCTATTTTTTTATAAAATGAAATTTATAACTCACAATTGTTTTTATGTAAACGTTGTAATGACATTGTTTTTGAGCACAATGATATTGATCAATTTGTATATATTTTTTCCATTTATTTGAAGATAAATATGAAAACATTATCACACTTGAGTATTTGAAAAACATTTATTCTTGAATATTTGCCAGAAATTTGTTTAATCATTAAGGTATTCTGTCAGATAAATTTGCTTTGAATAAAGAGTTTAAAAACTTCAAGAAAACAAATGCCTCGAAGGTACAATGAGTGAAGATAATCATGACGAGATAATTTCGAATTAATGAGACAAATTATATGTAGTTATTGGATCTAATTCAAATTGTGGTGACGTAACACGCAACTATCATAACTGCTAGTGTGTAGTATCTGCTAAGTCATTCGTAAACTAAATCAATTATTGAACAAAAAGCAGCATAGAAAAGCAGAACTAAAAGTCAATACCTCTTTTTCTCTTTTATGAATAAATCTTATGCATGATCTATGCTATTATAACATATAACAGCATAATGTGCGGTTCTTCTTCGCTTATGCTTAGAAGAAGATCCGCATAAAAAACGTCCTCAAAATTATTTCGTATGAAATAAGATGGAAAAATACAATTTTATACGGAGTGTCAACTAGTTCTGAATTTATATACAATACGACAAGCCATCTAGTTTAGTTCACTCTGTGTACTGTACCGCAACGTTATATATTATATTATACCATTATCAATTTCAAAAACCATGGATATGTTTATGCAACAACCTCATGCTGTACTTTCCTCAATGGTTATATCTGAAAAGCATAAAAATGAAAGTGGAAATGTGCCATTGGTCGATTGTGTTGCCAACATATTGGATATAAGAGATTTGAGAAATGTATTAGAACAAACAAAATTTGCTGATATGGGTATGGATTCATTGATAAATGTCGAAATTAAGCAAGCATTAGAACGCAATTATGATATTTTATTGAGCGCAACCGAAATTTTACAACTGACATTCGGCAAACTCAAAGCATTAGCTAAGTTCAAATGAATGAAATTAAATTAAAGAACTTCGTGAAAAAGTGAGTCTGCTGTCAAATGTCAATATTTTATCGAACCCTTCTATGGAATTACTTAGTACCAAAAAGTGGCGCCACTGTACATTGCATAGAAGGGTTCGATAATATATTGACGTTTGACAGTAGACTCACTTCATATGAAGAAAAATCACCAACTCCTTTATTCTTTCTAGTTTTTTAAGGAGATTATGAAAAAATTATATAATAAAATCATCATTTGGATCATTCTACGATGTTATATACATACGTCCAAGGTTAATCAGACTTTTATAATTGAAAGCTCTAGAATAAAAACAGCACATTATATAGTTGCATATCTAAGCATTTTTTTTGCATCGATTTCTTGCTGTAGTTTTTTGGAATGGGTCTAATTTTTTCTGGATATCAAAATTCACATCCACGGATTTATATCGTTACCCGAAACGTTAAATAAACTTTTAAAAAAATGTAAGTAATGCTTTCGATGTACGTACCCGGAGAAAAAGAGTATTTGACTTTCTGTGGAATCCGACAAAAAATATTTATATTCCGTTTTTATGCGTTTGTCATATGTTTATTTTTCTTTCGGCGAGATGTGATGAACCGTGTACGCTCGTGCTTGATTTCACTCTGAACATTTAATTTGGATGTCTGCTCGACTTTTGATATGTCTGTAACATTTACATTACTTGGTTTTTATTTTGACAGAGGAACAGATTAATGCCATCGGCAACATAATAGTCACAAATATCATTCTTTAATAACTTTTTCCTCGGTGGATGGCACAAAGGTCGTTATCTTCTTTTAAATGTTGTGCGTATTTTTCATTCTGGTTTTGGATGTTATTTCTTTCAACTTGATCAAGTTTTTCATTCTAAAAAATATAATACAATGACCTGTTAGTTTTTTGTCAGATAATTAACTTTATTAACAAAACAAATCAGCGGATGTAGCTGGTATGAACGAAGAGTCAACTGTGAAGAATACAGAGTCATTGTAAAATCGAGAAAACAGACGTTTTATTTATGCTTCTATTGATTCTGCAAATATGCTTTGCCATTTTATTGCAAATTTCCGCCTTTGAAATGGTTCCGAGTGGCCAATAGATGGCTTCAGACTTTCAATCAGCTTTGGTGTGTTCATAAGGGTATATAACATCATCTCAAGAAAAGTGGGAAATTTTCAAGTGAAACCGAATCAATGTAAGTATTCATTCTTTCGTATTGAATGACGATGCAACGCATTCACTCGCACATGCACAAAGAATCACAGCAAAGAGCTCTGTGGATGCAAATAGTCAAAGAGTTAAATCAAATATCTGTGTCTCTTCATATTTTGTGTCGTTGAAAGTTTTCTTCGACAGAATTAAAACGACATAGAAAGGATGGCGTTCGGTGAGAGTCTTACAAAGAACGGGATAAATTGTTTTTAAGTTTAAAGCAAACTTGGAAACCTTTTTTTTGTTGCAAAAAATTGCTCAAACAGAAAACTTATTCTCGCTGCTGCATCAGAGAGCCGAATCGTCTCACACTCTATAGCATTGCGTTCAATGTTATTATCTATAGACACGACTGGGCCAGAAAGCTATTGTAAATTAAAATGTGTATAAACATCAGAATGCATAAAAGTAAAATCTTGACGAAAGCAATTTTCTGCTTCAAAACCTCTTCGATTTTGTTTTACAATTCTCTCATCTTTTAAAATCCAAGTTATATAGAAATTTAATCTTGCAACAATTTGGTTATAAAAGCCAAAAAACTTTTCAATAATACAATAATCTTCGAGTTACTGTGAAATAATATCAGCTAATTGGAGTGGATTGTTTTGGTGGCAACGGCGGCGGTGACGTTAAAATAACACAAAACCAAAAAAACTCACTTCCAGCATGAAGTAATAGTGAAACTTAAAATGTTGACCTCTGAATTCTGCGCGTCGTACAGAGAAATCAGATGATGCACAAAACGATGTACTGCTTCAACTGCAGTTGTTTTGTGTTCGTAATTAATTGGAGGTGTTGTTTTGTGTTCTGTTTTGTTTTTGGTTTTTATTTTTCCACCTTTTTGAACTTTTGTTTGTGAAAATTTTTCAGACGATGAAAAAAGAGAGAATATTCGTACCTTTGTCTTTGCGCTCCACGTTATATTTCACCTGAATCTGCATGGTAGAAAAAAAAACTTTTTTTTTCTATTTTGAAAACACAAACATAATAAAAAACAAAAAAAATACGATATGGCGGCTTTTCACCAGTATCCTTGCCCCGTGTATTTTAAAAAGAGAAAGTTTTGTGATAAAATAATATATAATGGCGCGTATAAGTTACAACAATGGACAAACTTTTCAAACGAGAACCAAAAACATTCATTGTTTTGTTCAGTGCATTTAGCGTTTAGCTGGTATGATGAATATTTTTTGTTGTCGTTTCATCCGTGCGCACTCCTTCAACCACTCGTCGCTCTTCCGTGAAATGCGTTTGGTCCTGGTGTTGCGCGACGACCACCACCACCATTTCCATATCAAACAGGACTAACTTTCACTCTCTCTCTCTCTCTCTCTCTCTCTCTCTCTCTCTCTCTCTCTCTGCTCGCACTCTTATATATCCTGTCCATTTTATTTCCGTAACATTTTACCTTAAGATTTATGATTGTTTCTGTTTCTTTTGTATTTTCCTCATTTTTTTCGAAGCGTTTCATTGTCATTATTACATGGAAAAGTCGACGATTACTGATAGGGTTAGGGGTTTGAATTTTGTTTCATAGTTACATACAAGTGCATGCCAAATGAATCACATGCCAAATGAATAATTTTTCGTGATCTAATTTTTTTATATTAATGCAAATACTTTTGCCATACAATTACTTTTATCACTTTCATGAATTGTATCATTTCTCACACTTTATTTAAATGGCAGGGTTTTGTGGAAGAAAGTCTTATTTTAAAACTGTATCACTTTGCAATGCGGTTCGAAGAACGAGCGCAGTTCAAAGAACTAGAAGGGGAAGCAAGATTGACATCTGTTGCGTTTTCCAGCTGGAAAATCGGAGAAACTGGAAATTTAGGGGTTAAACTGTAAGGAGAACATCAGACACACAACAGTTTCAATACTTTATCGACGATTTTTTTACATTCTCATTCACATGTTTTCCCTTTAGAGAAGGCACAGACCAAGTTGAGTATTTGAAAATTGCGTTTTCAGCGGCCTTAATGCCATCTTGATGAAAATATAAAAACATGCGAATTTTGATAAAGTATCATTAGTTTGGAGAAATGTATAACTTGATGCTCACGCTTTTTGAACCCAAAGCTGAAAAAGTGAAATGAACGATGATGGTAAAAAATGGCACACGAATTGGAAGTTGATTCAAGGAGCAAGGTAATCTTCTTCTCGTAAGACTGTGATCCTGACCATATCTAGTTCTATGTACATAAATTATTTTGTTGATGGTTTTGAATTCAGAATTGTTAGGGCATTCAACATTTTGTTTAAGTACCGAATTTTAAATGGAGATATAGCAGTATGCAGTTGCCATTAATACTTCGTTCCATGAAAATGACGGTTGACTTTTTTTGTAAGCATACAATGTATCCAGTTTAGAATTCACGCAAACACACAAAATTGTGGTAGAACAGATAACACAAAAATGATAACATTTAATTTGTTAATTTATTTCAAGATATTTCAAATATATACATTGATTTCTTCTCTAAAATTTAAAACATTTTCTGTGGTAATTTTTCTAAAAAAATCCGAAAATTGGATGCATGCATGTAAAGAATATATTTTATTCATGTTTTACACTTTTTGTTCAGAACATGTACATATTTTTCGCATTTTCAGCCCGTTCATGCCGATGAGTGATTATATTGTTGCAATATAAACGTTCATTACATTTATTTGGTTGAATACCATAAATATTTGTTGACAAAATATTGTACAACGAATGAGACAAAAAAATGGTATGAATGCCAAAAAAAAAGTAAAAAACTCATTTTCCCATTTTATCTAATTCCAAATTGAAAAAATTGAGTATTCTATCACATAAATCCAAATTGTTTTCCACCGTTTCGTTGATGACAGTCGACATGAAAATACAGTTTTTCAAGTATATGTTTTTCTGTCTCTATACTCCCGTTGATTCGGTGTCAACAATTTCAATTCCACAATCAATCATTTGATTGGGAATTGATTTAAAAATTGCATCAATCTCGCATCAAATGACAAAAATGCCGTGTTCAATATAGCAACAACATGCAAAATATTTTATTTAGCGCTCAAGCGTAATATTAACAATTGTTAGAAATGGTAAAATCCTATTCAAATTGCAATTGAATGTGTGGCAGCAACAATGGAATGAACAAAAAAAAAGTGCTCACCCAAACCGAACATTGGAGTACCGAACTGGATTGCATAGCTAAACAATGAGTGTCGAGTATTACATCACTCGGCTATTCAATATCGCAGACGAAACAATCTATAGTTTCTGTTCGTTTTATGTTTGTGTGTGAAGCATTCAATTCAATGTTAAAAAAACGAGTTCACTTTTGTGCATTGTGAATTGCAAACTTGAAAATTTAATCGAATAAAATTCGATGCGTTCAAACACATTGGTTGAAGAGCCAACAGCATGAGACGCAAATATGTATGGACAAAGGAAAAGCAAGAGAGAGGGAAGGACGGGCTAAAATAGAAAATGAGAGATAGACTGGCATCGCATAAAAAGTGCGTCGAACTAACGGAAACGAAACTGTTTGGCTGCTACAATTTTGCTGAAGTGGTTATTTTCATTGTTTGGTTTTTGCTGGTCAAATTTTTTGTTCAATAGTTCTCTCTTCCGCCTGTCTCTGTATCTTATTCGATAATTTATACATCGTTGGCGGTAATTCAACATTGATGACTGTGTTGGATGCACTTGCACATTTTAAGTCCGACCAAATTGCGGATTTTGGTTTCAATTTAATAATTTAGCATTTCCGCAAACAATTCCACATGCATCGAGCATTATTTCACCGGATACATCTTCAAATTAAATTTAACGCTTAATTTACCTAATGACACCATCATTTTATTGACAATCGATGCGCTCATCCAATTCAACCGCTGGGACCAAACAGCGAGGTGAGGTCAAAAGAGACGGAAAACGATTGAATGAAAAATAAACATCAATATCGTGAGGGTGGAAAATAGAGAAAATTAAAGTCGTTCATGGTCACTGAAATGGATTGCAAGACGCTTTATTCCATTTTATCCCACATAAAAGAGATGATTGATCTGGGGTTTAAGAGAAAGTTTTATTCGTTTGTTATAAAACTGAATTTATGGTTTCGCTATAAAATGTCGGGCAACACACGCATACGTATATAGTTGAGCCAAAGAAACAGACGCACACACACACATATATACTGAACTCTGAGTAGCGGTGATGCACGTAAACACAACGCATTTAACGAGTAACACTGTAAAACGTAACGGTGTCTATCGTGCATCGTTTTCTATCGAACAATCATTAATAATAATCCCCAATGCTTGCCACTCATTCATCCGGCACATTCGATCCACTGAATTTGACATAACTCATGCATTATTCCGCGCTCATCAACTATCCACCATATACATACACCATTTTTGTATTTTTCCACTTTTCGATTCATGTTTTGTTATTCCTCATGTCTCTCTTTCTCTCACTATTTGTTTTTATTCCCTCCTGCATTTTGCAATGCAATCGGAAGTATTCTCATTCTCTTTTCCATTCATGTTGGAGTTTATCATTGGCAAAAATGCTTATCAATATGTGTGTGTGAGAGAGAGATGAGACAACCCCATGTTTTCTCCATTTAAAAATGCATCCGGCTTACTGCAAACATAAAAAAAAAACTACTTAAAACATACGCATCCACACGTAGATGATCGAAAAGAGTGCACAGATGCAATTCCAAACAAAAGTCTTCAATCAAAGTTTGAACTGTGTCGATGGATTTTAAACGATTTTCTGTAAATGTTTATACCCGTTTAACGGATCAAAATACCGTATCATTCCACTCATAATACTTGTAAAAAAATATCATGTAAATACACTTAAATTGGATTGAACTGAATGGAATGAAGCTGTTGTTCATTTGAATCGTGAAAAACTCATTACACATATTTGAATGGGATACAATTGAAAATGGAATGTAGCGAAATATTTATGGTGCTGCCAAAGTAGAGCTTTCCACTCAATCGATTTTCACTCAAAGGATTCAACTCATATTTACGAACAAACGTTCGGGAGTAGCGTTCGGGTGAGCCGACGTCAGAAAAACGGAAAATTGTAAGCGGCAACGCACACATAAGTTCGATGGCAAAAAAAGACAGACGTACGTTCGATGGATAGTGGAGTCTCATCACTGAACAAAAACATGAAATCAGCTAAAGAAATGCTGTAGCACAAATACACAACGGACACGCCGATGTGTATGAGGAAAAGTGTCTGCGAAAATTTGTTGATGGCATTGTGATGGGCATCAGTTCAAACGCAGAACGGAATACGAACGGTTCGCTTGCACAGTAACTCTTGAATATTTATTATCGACAACATTTTTGAGGTTCACTCGTAACGGACTATTTATTTTATATTCAATTTTCGTTGTAAACGAAATGGTTTTTGCTTGGTAGAATTTTTGTTTCTCTTTTCGATAAAATACTCATATTTCAAGAAAATTCTCTGTGCTATAGCTGAAAAGGACATGAAAAATAGAAGTGATTTAATAGTGTGCGATAATTAAAGAAACAAAAAAGGTGTGTTTTCTCATATATTGATAACGGTGCTATTTAGGAAACTTTCAAACAATTGCGCTTTGTGCGAAAGCAACGTATTCACTTTTGAATAATCCATTAGTGGTTTTCATTGTTCTCTTCTCGCAATTTCGACATCTCAATGGTGTAATCAATCAAATACAATGTAATGTGAAAATAATATTTCTACTTTGAAATGCAAAGAGATAGAGAGCACACAATGTGTTCTAATGTGAAAGGAAGTGAATGAATGGTAATGTGATCGGATATTCAATCAATTTATAAAATAACAAATCGAAACAAATAAACGAAATTAACAGAAAAAAATAAGAAATTTTTCATCCATCTTAGTCGGTAGCTATCGCATTATCATCGCGGCAAAAGTTCACGTTTTTCGTATGAAACGCACGTGCAAATTGAAATTGCCATTTTCGTCGTTCCATTTGAAATTCGATTGACATTGTGCATTTGGAATATAATTCAACGTGAAAAAAAAGCATAAAATAGAAAAACACTAAGAAATAAAAAAGAAAGAGAGAGAGAAAAAGCTCATCAACACGCATCTTGAGTTATTGGCATCGGGAAGCCGAAGGGCATTGAAACACATACATTTGATGAATGTACATTTGCTGCTTGGCAAATGACGAACTCATAAAAATAAAAACGTGCCAAAGAGACGTGATAAGTGAAACTGTGCAAATAGGTTGAAGAAAATAGAAGGAACACCATTCAATTCGATAGACACATTTCCTTAACAGAGTCAAGCAAACGCTGCTCATTTTGATATCATCTCATTGCATTATCTTAATCGACTCGTCAGCGAGTAAGTGAATGAAACAAAATACAATCGCTAAAATTCTAGTTCGAAAGCTATTCGGTGATCGTTGAGTTGTGCTTTCAGCAATAGACACCTTCAAGCCGATTTGTTTTGTTGTGCAGTGTAAACGGTTCGTGTGGAAAGTTATAGATCGAAAATTCAATTCTTTTCCACATAATTATTTGGCTAGACGACTAATTTACGACAGCATCGGGTGTAGTGTAACTTTGGAAATAGTTTTACGGGGAAAAAGTTCACTCTCAAATTGAAACAATTTTTTTCTGTGTATGTCGTTCGTATAATTGAATTGCGGCGGAAAAATTGTTGCAAAGCCAAAAAAACCGCTGTAAACAAAAATATTTCAACTAAAAATAGCATTAAACGAACAGCCAAGCATATATCGAAGTGAAAAAAAAAAACAACAAAATAATCGGCCGGCCATTTTCCCACTTGAATTCGAATCAATTTGTTTTGTGGCAACCGCTGAACAGAGAAGTGAGTGAAGAGAAACACAAAAAGCGAACCTGGTTTATGTGAATTGGATTCTTTCGTTTGTATACGTTCATTGTTGCGGTTTCAGTGTACATGTGTTTGGCTCATGCTCGAACTTTTTTCGGACTATTATCAAAACCTTGTTTCAATTTGCATTCACACAGTGTAAATATACTCAGTCTCTTTCACACACACTCGTGCGTGCAAACAATCGCATAAAATAACATTTTGTGAATAATTTTGCATGCGCACATTTCTCACCACAAAACCAAAAAAAAAAAATGCACAGACAGTGAAACAAAAAATTATTAAATTCGGAATTTCACTTCATGTTAATTGAAATAAATTCCATATTAATTTCATCGTTAGTCAGTGCTACAGTTCAATTGTCCGATCATTATTTAAAAAAAATTCGCGGTGAAAAGTTTTTTTTCAAAATACATTGAAAATCGGGTGTAATAATTGGGAGGCAATCATATATTTGAAAAGTATACTTTTTAAAAAAGACCGCCATAGAAAAAACACTGATACAAAGACCATAGAAAATATCAGCGATTCTGTGTTTCAATTGAACTAAAAACGAGAGCCAAAATAAACAGTAAGTTTTATTAATTTTATCTTCCATTTTTTTTATTCAAAGAACAAAGGAAATTATTCAAACGAAGTGAAAATATTTTTGTTCAAATAAAAAAATTAGCAAAAAGGATAAAAAAAATGTGCACATAAAAATGGTTCATATAAAATTGTGCCAAATGGCGATATTTGCCTTTTCTGGTGCGCATTCATCGAATTTATAGTCTGGGCATTAAAAGTCGATGGGATCAAAGGGCCATCATAATTCTTTTATTTTCGCTCGGTATATTTCGGTGTGTGTACATGCCACACCAATTGCATTGTTCCAAATTCAAAGCTCGAACTGTCCGTGTCAGGGTGGAGTGATCAAATGCGGCCACATAAATTTGCACAATGCACGCCCAACACAATTTATTGTTTTTCATTTTATCAAAAACGCTTTTCCTCTCGCTGCATTCAAACACACACACAAATTCAATGAATATGTGACGATATGGTCGTTCTCGTATTTTTTTTTCGCGTCAACTTTGTCTCTCTATTTTAAACATTATTTATTTAAATGTGTTTGTGAGCAATTTTTCCAGTTGAAATTTTGTCACGAATGTGTGTTCATTTTTGGTTAATAATTTTCGCTGACAATTTATGGCCAACAAGATAATTTTTTTGGTTTGCTCTTTTTTCTCTCTTTCATACATTCATGAAATTGATGCACAGACCGAGTTTTCAATTTTCGTTTATTTGTTTAGCAACAACTGATTAGCTATCAAATATATAATTAACAAAACAGCAACATTTCATTTAGAAATTTAAATGAAAAACTTATTTCGTTTCGGAAAAATTGAAATCAATATTCTAAAGTTGTATATATATTGTGTACGGAATATGAACCGTTGCCAATGTTTGTACAAATGTTTTGTTATGCGGACAGGTTCATGATACCCCCGGTAATTGAATTTTCATCTCACCAAATCTGGTTATAGAATCGTTAGCACGTATGGAAAATTTAATATTTGTTCACTTTTTCAGTCCCAGATATGCACTCACACACAGAGAGAGAGACATACATACACGGAAGCACATCCAAAATGAGGACGATTCAAAAAATATAATTCGGTGCTTCGTTTCTCGTTTCAAAAGCAAATACACGTGCTGCAGCATGGAAAATGACATGAAAAGCGAAACGAAAATTGAATTACCGATTTAATGTTTAATACTATATATTTTTTGGTATGAGTAAATAAACGAGTTAAATGAACGGCGTTAATCACAAATTATAAAGTGTCTACCAGTTTGAAAATCAGTTCCGTTGCAAACGTGGCTTTTTTTTCGCTGCGCTTATCTAATTGGATTTAAGTGAACCGGGTTGCGTCAATTAAACATAATTTTCCATGGACGTTTTTATTAAATCGTGATAGTTTTTTTTTATTTTAAAGTCGAATGGTCTATACAATTTGTAGCATGTAAAGCGCATAAGAATGAGGAAAACTCAATTTTTATATTTTACGAGAAAAAAAATGGAGAATAATATGATGCTTAATGAGTGATAACGCTAGAGATTCGATGGAAAAAATCTGCTCGTACGCACAACATTTTTCGCAACAAAATATGCAAAAATCTGAAAATTTTAATTTTCGCATTAAAATAATAGCTATATCTAACCAGAAACAAAATTAATTATGACATTGGTTTTCTTTATCGACAATCTCGGTTTCCAGCGTACACGAATGCTTGACGTGAATATTCCATCATTGAGATTACATTCAAGTAAATATGCATTGTCCATTTTTGGTTGAGTTAAGTACATATTAAATCTCATCTAAATTCATTAAAATGAATTTTGTTTTTGCATGTGTGTGCATTCAACAGGAAAATTATTTGTTGTCAGCTAATGTAACCAAGCGTCTTAACAACTTTTCGCATTCATAAATCTCTGCACTAAGCTATAGTAAAATCGTTATTTTCGCCGAAAACTTGTGCTGTCTACTGGATAGTTGGTATTTTGAGGTCATTATGTTTTGAGTAATGAAGCAATAATTCACTGATGTTTGTGTGTATGTGTGTACTTTGTCCGTATTTATGGATCAGTTTTAGCCGACTGATTTTGCAAACTATTTCCGACCCACACGATGATGGACGTGATATTAATAAATAAAAAATAACAATCATCCATTTTGTATTGCATCTATTATATGTGGATATTATCCCTTTTGTTGGATCGATAGCAAATTTCGTCGGATTTATTTGGCGAGAAATCAATAGACCAATTGAATTTACGATGGCGCGCATATTAATTTACAATCAATTTTATTGCTCGCACAAAATTTGATTGTGCCAAATTGAATTGCTGCTTTTAAATACAATTATTGAATTTGATAAACCATATTAAATATTTCAAGCAGCAAAATAACAACCATTTTTGATTGGATTTTTTTCATCTTTTATAATTTCCGCCGAAATCACAGAGCCGAAATCTGGCAAATACATGAATAATAAGCAAATGTATAATTTCAACTTTCCCACACGTACTAGATTATTTTTCGTCTTTTATGCTAGAATAAAACAAGCGCTTTACTAGTTTATTATGTTAAGCTGTAAAATATATCGTAATCCTTGGAGATTAACAAAATGAGTCAAAAGAGAGGTATATTACATTGGCGCTATTTAACTTGTATATTTTGATTATGTAACTAGAACTTTAAGCAAGAGAGAGAGAGAGAGAGAGAGAGAGAGAGAGAGAGAGAGAGAGAGGAAGAGGAAATGGAACAGAGAGAAAAAATAAAAGTTTTAATTCCATTTCTTTGATGCTTTTGAAGCATGACGAAGCTAAGAGAAAAAAAAATATATAAAGATAGGGAATCTAATGAAATCCAAAACAATGTTTTTCTAAACATTGTGATTGTTGCAAGGAAGTTGCTCATCATTGGAATGTGAATATTTTGTTGCAACTAAAAGGGAATTAAAAAAGAAAGCACAAATATTGCAACGGATTTGTGGATGGTGTACACATCGCACCAACGCCACCATCACACCGCATCCACTCACACACACATCCAATGCCAAAAAGTTCGTTCGAGGAAAATAGCAAAATGAGCAAATAATTATGTGTACTGTAAGCAGTTTTCATTTGCAAAGACATAGAATGAACGAAATAATAGGAACGTGCATGTTTTACTTTTAGCTTATTTTCGACGACCGAATTTTAAATCTTCTTATCACCCATTCTACTGTCTGTACACTTGTGTGTGTATATCTCAGTTCGGTGTCATATTTGTGCATGTTTAACGTGTTTCAACATTGAACAATGTTTCTTTCTCTGTGCCGTTCGTCGGTGGCAATGTCATTAGCAATACGTGTAACACATAGGAAAACTTGTTCGGGTTGAACTATGAAAACTTCAGCAGAATAGCGCCAGAGAACAAGAGGTGACACACACACTATGTGTGTTTATTTTCAGCATTCAACGATTACATTTATTGCACTATAATAAACTGCATGGCACAAAATACAAATACAGTACAACTAACTCTCTCTCCGGCACACAAATTCCCAGCTATAATCCCGAAAGAAAGAAGAATGCAAGCACAAATTGGGGAGTGAGAGAGAGAGAATGAGCGCGTATGTGTGTGTATAGACATGGTAACATTTTATGTGAATAAGTATAAATGACAGGGAAATGAATGAAAATTTTCGCCGAGTCAACGGAAAATTGGCAAAAATTCATGGTCCCAGCTTAAATACAATAAACTACATTTTCCATGGTTGACATTGTGGTTGCGGTTTTTATTTTAACTACCGTTTACCGCTTGCTTTTAGTGTCGATGCCGAGCCATTCAATGGCCAAATGCCATAAGGAAACCCACTTTATTGAGGTTACATGTTCAGCAAAACAAACGCAAATATAATTACGAAACTTTTTTTTTCTGTCTCTGATCTCTATCCGTCTCTTTCGGATCTCTTTTATGGCGTAACTCTCTTACACACTCGATCTTGTTTGCTCTTTTTCGGGACCCCCGTAATACTTTGGAAGTTGTTTCACCGTTTTTGTATTGTATGTATGTTGTTGGCGACTGTTATTGTCGTTGCCTTCATTTTTTATCATTTACAAACATTTTCGGTAGCTGCATCATTTAGCATTTTGTCCTTTTTAGTTTTGGTAATATGAAAAACCATACATTTTGTTATTTGCCATTGTCTTGCTTGTCCGCGCCTCTCTGCTCGCCCGCCTCTCGCTCACTTTCGAATATGAATGCAAAGACAAATGCCGGAATGTTCTCCGAGAGATCAGATGGTTACTGACCGAATTTTAAATAGAAAAAGTAGCAAATATTTTGGTATTTATGAGGTAAAAACTATTCAACAACGACCGAAACTAATTTTGTGTCTACACTCTTTAGACACATTTATGGACGATGGCCACTCCGTTCGATGTCATAATATTGTATGTATTCTATGTTGAATATGAGGACGATATTTAAATTTCTATTCAACAAATGATTTTAAATGAGAGAAAATCCACTAAAATGAGAGAAATCTCTGAAACGATCAAAACATCCTTGGATTTACGTAACGTCTATAGAAAATGTTTCATGTGAATGTTATTGACTCGCAAAATTCATAAATAATATTTTAAGCACGACAGCTATTTTAAAGTTAAGCCAAAGATCAAACAGAAATTATGTCGAAAAAGAAAGCAATAATTTTTTTTAATAAAGCTATTTCTCTTTCGGGCAAAATGTTTTCATCAAAATTTTCATCATCATCAATAGCAACAACAGCAAAAACATCAAACAAAAATAGTTTTTGCTGTTCCAGTATGTTTATGATGGGTTCCCCGCTGAGAGATGCTTCAATCTAAATAAATGTTGTTTAATTTAATTCGTAGCCATATCTTCGAGCTTAATACATCCGAAGTATAATATTGCATGTTTTGCCCCGAATACAAAGCGCAACGAAAAGAAAAGAAATCCAAACAATAAAGATGGCACTCCAGCAGTTTCAATTTAATTGAAAAGTTTTTGCTTCGTA